CCCAGGGGTGCTCTACCACTGAGCTGCATCCCCACATTCACTTTGTGAAAGGGTTCACTAAATTCCTTAGGCTGGCCTTGAACTTGCAATCCTCCTGCTTCAGCCTCCTGCTGAGATCACAGGAATGTGCCACCTCACCTAGCTGAACAGTCTGGTGGGGAGGTGTATCAGCCAGCTTTCTATTACTACAATGAAATACCTGAGATGATTAACTTATAAAAAGAAAAGGTTTTTATTTGTACTCAGAGCTTTGGAGGTTCCAGTCTAAGACCAGGCAGACCCACTGCTCTGAGCCTGTGGTGGGTGGGCCAGATGGCAATGGTGAAGAATGTCTGGTGCCGCAATCTCTCCCCTCATGGCCAAGAAGTGAAAGAGAATGAGGAAGGCCAGGGTCCCACAATCCCCTTCAAGGACAGAAGGCCCCACCTCCTAAAGGCTCTCCACCTCCCAGTAACACCACCCCAACACTGGGAGGTGGGGGAATGGGTAGGTAAGCCTTGGTGGACATTCAACATGCAAAGCACAGCAGGAAGTAGGAAGTAACATTAATTTCATAAAATAGGAAACAATGCAAGATAAAATACTCAGATGAACAGTGTGTCAGTGCCATTGGCATTCAGAAGAGACTGATGGAATGAGCACCACCCGATTTTCTAAAGGTGCCCCCTTGTGGGAAACGTATCTGTAATCACCCTGCTCTGTACTTGGAATCTCTAAAAGTGTTCCTGGTAGAATATATGTAATATGTAAATCTCCTTGGGAGGATTGTCCTTCTTAGATCTAATCTTACTAGTTTTTGCTTTTTTCCAACACAGGGAACTGAGCCCAGGGCCTTGTGCACGCTGGGCAAGCGCTCTCCCCTGAGCCACACAGCTGTAGCCACTGATCTTCTTTCTTAAGGAATGCGCCAGTTCATCTCAGAGACCCACGTGAGAAATGCTCATCTCCAACTCCTAAAGTTTTATGGAGTATAGATTCTTTGGTTTGCAGAAGAACTTAAAGTTTTTTTTTTTTATTTATGTCTTATCCGCCTTTGACCAAAGGAAACGTAAATAAATAGAAAATTCTTGTAGCTACTTGCATGCTTAAAGAAGCTCTTATTTGTCAGGTCGAGATCCCATCACCTCCCTCCGCAGTTAGCTCAGCTTGACTCTGACCTCCTCCTTCTTCCCCTCCTAGTCCTCCATGTCCCCCTTGCCCACCTCCCTCAACTGGTCTCCACTGCAGCTTCTTATACCATCTTTCCTGCAGCCACACTGTCCCACGCACCTTCCTGTCTTTGTTCAGGATTTAGCTATTTTTCCTACTCGGACCAGCCTTCCCTTTGCTTCTCCCAAACTCGACTGTCTTACTGAACCCCGAAGCACTTCTTCTGAACCTCTGTAGTATCTCAGAGGATGTTCAACCTGCCATTCTAAGTGTGTCTGCTTCCAGTGCCCCATCAGACTGCGGACTCCTAGAGAGCAAGGATTTGGCCTTTGCTAGCTCTAATCTCCCCCGTGGTCTCTCTAGAGGATAGGAAGTCACCAAAGTGCAGGTATTTAAAAAAATTATTGTTGGATACATAATAATAGTTGGAACAATGAGCAGTTGAGTTTCCTGACATGGTAAGAGGGTGAATTTGGACACAAAACCTGAAGTGGCTGGCTGTGTATTTAGCTCAGGAGTTAGGAGATATTTTCTCTAACGGGCCAGATTGTGAATATTTTAGGCTCCCTGGGCCATGCTGTCTCTGTCCCAACTATCCACCTCTGTCCTTGTGGTGTGGAGCTCACCATAAATAATATGGGAACATTGCACATGGCTATGTGCCAATAAAACTTTATTTACAGGCACTGAGTTTTGAATTTCATATAATTTTCCAATGTCACAAAATATCATCCTTTAGAAATTTTTCTTCAACCATCTAAAACTTTAAAAACTATTATTAGCTCACTGGCAGTGGAAAAAAACATGAGGTGGGTAGATTTGGCTGGGGGGCCACAGTTTGCCAACCCCTTATTTAAAGCAATAATTAAAATGTTGCAACTAAAGAAGATTCGCATCAAAGTTTTTATATTGGTCAAAAGGACAATGATTGAGTAAATTATAGGATAATTACTTGTGAAAATCTTTTCAGCCAATTAAAATAGTATAAAGACCATGTAGCAACACGGAAAAATGCTATGATAAATTGCAAGTTGAAAAAAGCAGCCTCCAAAATTATGTCTGCTCTGATTCTAACTATGTTGAATGCATCTCCAATAAACTCTGCACAAATTATGTATGCACAAGGACTGAGAAGGAAAATGAAAGCTGTTTGATTGGTATGATGTTGGGGCTGTGGGTAATTTGTTTTTACTTAAATATGAGTATCTCGAGCTTCCTTCTAATGCACAGGTTCTATGATGCCCTCACCTTGGACATTCAGCTCAAATTATCCATCAGGAAAGCCCCTTTTGCAGACAAGGAAGGAAGAGGACATAATTTAAGTTGTTGAGAGGCCAGAAGAGTTTCAAGTGTGTTTCAGTTAACTCCCGCGGTGTAACAAACAACCCCGCACTTAGCATCCTAAAACGACGCCATTGTGTATACTATGCTCATGGATCCTTTGGTTAAAAAGTTCAACCAGGGCTCAGGCGCAAGGGCAAGTGTCTACCTTAGCAGAGCAGCGGCCCCAGCTGGGAAGACCTAAAGGGCTGCAGGTGACTTGAATGCTGGTGCTGGAAGATCTAACTCTGGGCTCTCCCTGTGTTTCTCTGCCGCTGTGTCCAAATTCCCCCTAAGGACCCCAGTCATATTGGATCAGAGTCCACGCTAAGGACCTCATCTTTACCTGTTCATCTGCAAAAACCCTGTTTTCAAGCAAGGTCCTATTCACAGGCTCTGGGGATCAGGACTTCACCATTTGGGTAGGGATTCAAATTAACCCGTGCCAGTTGGCCTGAGTGGGAACTGTCCACCGAAGTGCCTCCAATGGCCTCTCCATCTGGTGTGGGGCTGGGTCCTCAGAGGAAGCATCCTCAAAGCGAGCATGGTACATCAGCCGGGTGGCAGCTACATGGCCTTTCCTGAACTAGCTTTGGGAGCCATTCTCGATTGGTAGAAGCAGTGACCATTTTGCCCAGACTCAAGGGACAGAGGCCTCCCCTCTGTATGGGAAGAACATACAAGAATTTGCAGCCATTTTTTGGAAAGCAGATTTCACTTTTGAAAGAGCAGTTTTAGGTGAACAGCAAAATTGAGAGGAAGGTAGAGAGATTTCTCTGTCATCTGTCCCCAAAGCCTCTTCTACTCTCAATGTTCCCCACGTGAGCCGCATATTTGTTACAACTGATGAAGCTACACAGGCATCCCGTTATCGCCAAAGTCTATAGCTGATACGAGGGTTCACTCCTGTTGTCATTGGGACTGAGGATGGAACCCAGGGCCTCTCACATGCTAGACAAGCTGTACCTCCACACTATCCCCCCAGCCCTAGGGCCCACTCTTGGCATTGCACATTCTAAGTGTTTGAACAATGTATAATGTCATGCATCCACTCTTATGGTATTGTTTTTAGAGTAAGGTCACTGCCCTGAAAATTCTGTTTGCAGCCATTATTAAAAACTCCCAGAACTTTTTAACCCCTAGACCCACTGGGAATCCATACTTGGCTTCTAAAACATCTATAAAACCCTAGATGCTAAGCCATGTGCCAGAAGCCCATGTCCTTCTCCTGGAGCGTCGGTCCTCAGCTTTTGCCCTGCACTCTGATGGGTCTGTGACCTACTAATGATCAGGCAGGACTGGAATTCCAGGTCCATCTGCTGCTTCCAAGCAGAGCAGGGCACGCCTTCCTTCCCCGACTCGGGGGAAACGTTTTCTCTCCGTGCGCTTGGCATCAGAGACGGCCTTTCTCCTTCCCCGAGGCAGCTCCGCCATCTGCCAAATGGCGTTGGTCTGTGACCCCAGTGTCCTTGAAGCTATTCAGCAGCCATAGAGTGGTCCAGAATGCTCTAGCTCCCCAGCAGCAGGGTGGAATTGACAAGCAGCCTGGTTCTCGCTCCCCAGACCTGGGAGGCTCTGTGACATCCCCAACCCACTCCATGGTGGCACAGGAGAGCCAATGTCCCCCAGGAGCCCGCTCCTTCACATCGTCCCACCTGTCTCTTTCACTAGCTAACAAATTCCTTTGAGAGCCAACATTTGTTGATGGGGGCATTTGGCAAGGGAAACTTAGAGCTAAGAATTGTTCAGCCACTGACGGCTTGGGGGACACTGGCCAGGGCACTTCTGTAGGGCACAGTGAGACCAGAGTGTGACTTGTGGCTTCCCAGGTATTAGCTATGAGAAAGGCAGTGGGCATGCTGGGTAAATTTAGGGCCAGACTACTGGGATTGCTATCCTAGCTCATCCTCTGTGTGCCTTATATGAACTTGGGCATGAATAAGCCTCCCAAACCTCAGCTACCTCTTCTGTATAAAATACTTGCTTCATGGGACCACTAGCCTCCGTCCAGGACTCTCGTGGGCCAGGCGCTGCTGTAAGAGCTCCCTGCGGGCCCACTCCTTAAGTGCTCAGACAACCCTACATGCTAGTTCCTATTATTGCCCCATAACCAGCAATGCAACCGAAGCACACACACTGGTTACTTGCCCTCAGTCACCCCAATGTCAAGGGGAACAGCTGGCTTCTGCAACCTGTATCTTTATCCACTACATTACCTTGCAGCACCCTGGCACAAAGCACTTAAATCACTCAGTGATTGTATTTACATATTAAAGGTTCGATAAATATTGGTTGGTATGGTTCCCACCAAAATTCTTGTTCAAATTTAATGCCTCTGGGGAATTAGTAAGAAATGAGACCTAATGGGTATTTAAAAGGTGGTGAGATCACGGGCATCTCATGGATGAATTGATCCATTCATGGATTAATGGGCTAATGGGTCATCTCAAGAGTGAGTTTGTTATACAAGCCAGTTTGGCTTTGACATTTGCATGTGCCCCTCTTGTCAGTGATGCCTTGCACCTCCTCAGGGTTCTGCTCCAGCAAAAAATCTTTTACCAGTAGCATCTTCTTGACCTTGGATACCAAGCCTCCAGAACTGTGAGTTAAATCAACCTTCATTCTTTATAAATCATTGGGTCTCCAGTATTTAGAGATAGCAACACAAAACACACTAAAACAATAGAAGTCATCATTCTGAGTCTCACAGCTTCATCTTTAAGGTGGGAATGATGTCACCTAACTCGTGGGTAGGGATAACACAAATATAGCACTGAGCTTTACATTTAAGACCACAACACTTGAGTCTATTGTCTTTGGTGCTAGCCACATGACAAGTGACCACTGGCCCAGAGGACACAGACTCAGGGACCAGCACCTTTCCTTGGTTGCTAAGTCCATATTTCTTTGTGTTTTCTAGCTTGTCTTTACTTAAAATATATGTTTCATTATTTTCTCTAAGAACTCTAGAATTCCCACCAGTCTTGTACAGGCTGCTACGGAAAACGGTGCAGATTAATGTTTCTTTCCTGTTCAGTTTTCCAATCTATAAAACAGGGATAAATAAGAACCACTCCTGGGGGTAGGGGGGGGTGAGGAATGAATAAATACATTCATCTAAGGCACCGAGACCCGGGAGATAGGAGCTGCTATTCTCTAGAAAAACCATCCAAAGAAGTTTCCAGTGAATGCAGACGCGGGCCCTCTTCCTCTGGATGAGCTGGGATAAAGTTCAGGAGCAGGAAAGCGTCTGTCAGGACCTGCTGCCGGAGGGAGCCACTAACGGATGAGGCACAGCTCAGGTATTTGGTGGCCCAGCCCTGAGGCTTTGCCAGCTCTGTGTACAGTGAGCTGGTCAATTACTGTTAGGTGACACTTAATAGCTACAGCAGCATGTGAGGGTTTAGGGAAAATCCATTTCCTTGAATTTTCCAGCTTGTAGGAGCTGCCCGCTCTCCAGGGCTGGTGGCCCCTTCCTCCATCCTCAGATCCAGCCTGTAGCTTCTCCAGATTGCTCCCTGACACGGAATCCACCATTTCATTTGCTTCTTTGACTCTGAACTTCCTGCATCACTGTTATCAACGCCCTCGTGGTTACACCAGGCACACGGGCTCACCCAGGGTCCCCTCCCATCTCAGGATCCTCAACTGAACCGTAACCATGAAATGCCTTTCCCAGGGAAGGGACCCTATCCGCAGGTCCCACGTTTATATGTGGACATCTTTGAGGGTCATCACTCTACCCACCGCGGTGGTCAAAGAAGGCCCCAGTGAGGAGTGACCTCTGAGAGCAGTGAGGTGGCCAGGAAGAGCACACCAGGCCAGCGAGAGAAAGTCACGCCCCGGGTGACTGAGGAACAGCAAGGGGGACTGGCTTTGGAGAGAAGCAGGTGTTGTAAAGGAGGTTGGGCTGTGTCCGGCTTCGGGCGCCACGGTGAGGTTTTCCATGCCAACCACCCCAAGTTGTAAAAGACGGGAACGGTGTAGTCTCATCTGATCTTACAGCATGGTGACATCCCCAAGGCCCGAGGCCTTGACTAGCTTGCCCTAAGTCACCAGGCACCAGCTCCCCTGGCCTTCTGAGCAGAAGGCCTCCCAATCAAGCCCCCGGCGTCAAGGTCACGTCCTCCTGGAGCCTCCCTTCCCTCCCATCTCTGAGTCAGGTGTCTCTCCCATGTGCTCCTATGCCACATCCCACATTCCTTCCCTCCTGGTTTGAGGTCTGTGTCTCACACATCAGGCTAGGACCATGTGCCGTATTTATCTATGGATTCTTCCAGCAGAACAGAGTTTGCACTCCATGTTAGTAGAATGAATGAATGAAATTAGGAGACAGATGAAAGACTTACCTCGACAAGCTAACAGGTGAGAAATACAAACGATCTCGAGGCAACACTTAGCTTGAAAAAGGCAACACACACACATGCATACAACACACCCATGCACACACACACACACTCTCTGCAGGCACAGATCTGGTCATGCACAGGATTCCCTGCTACAGAAAGTGGAGGGAGTCACTAAGGGCAGAATGTCCCTCACAGCAGGAAGCATCCCTCTTAGCCATGAGGAGCACCCACTGTGCAGACAGATTGGGAGAAGGATAGAAGCTTCCGGATCCTTTGGTATCCTCAGATTCTGTGCCTGTTCCTCTCACCATATCCTGGAGCAATATTAAACCCCAAGCGCAAGAGGTGACATTACCAAGTGACAGGCAGCAATTCCTCTCAGGAGGGTAAAGAACCGTGTGAAGGCACCTCAGAACCCCAACATCAGCATCTGCGGTCCCCTGTCCCTGTGCTGCTTGTCATGAGTTGGTAAGGTAGTGTCTTGACGGCGAGTGAGAGTAGGAAAGCCTTGAGTTGGGATGACTGTCAGCTGAAGCCCATGAGGACGTCTTCCAGGGACGTCCTGACTCTGGTTCCAAGGATGGGAACTGTCACAATCAGTCACAGCTGTCTGGGCTGGAGGGATCCTGGCTCTACGTGGAATTTTGGGCAGAGGGTGACAGTTCAGAGGCAAACAGAGCATTGCACCGTGAGGCACTAGTTAACCCTCACTCACCTGGTGCAAGTTTTGACGTGGAAGTCCATGGCTGACTGGGGATCAGGACACAGAAGGCCTGTGGGTTCCATCAGGCTTGCAACGAAATGGCATTAGATGAGAAGAGGTGACGGTGGGGGAGAGAAGAGACCAAGCAGAGGGAGAAAGAAAAGGAGTGAGGGCTAAAAGAGAATGAATTCTGGAGACAGTAACAGAAGAGGGGATAGAAGAAAAGTCTGATCCTCCACTTTTCCCAAACACTTTTCTTAGCACAGTATGTGCCTTTCCAAGAAATCCCCCAGCTTCATCTGGGGGATTGATTTAAAACCACAAGGATGCAGTCTGACATCCTGTAAAGCACTACGATTCCCTAAGTCTTTGCTTACAAACAGGCAGAAGGCAGGTTGCTGATCCCAGGTAAGGTTGTGGGGCTGGAAAGACAAAACCTTTTGCCACAATAGCAACAAGACTTGCTATGTGCCAGGCACTGTGTTAGGCTCTGGGGATGCATATGGCTGTCTGGAAAACCTGTTACCTGCCTTCACAGTGGTCACCACCCAGAGCCGGGGACGCAGAGTAAATGAACCCTAGAGGTTTATAAGTGGAGGAAAGTCATCTTTATATTTGGTTTACTAAGCTTGCTCTTGCTGTGCTGTGGGCAATGTGTTAGAAGAGGGCAACAATGGATGCAGAGAGTCTGGTTGGGAGGATGGTACTGTAGGTGAAGGACGACGGAGGCAAGGAGAGAGAGAAGTGATAGAATCAGAGACATTTAGAGGCAGACCTGGCCGACCCGGGGGTCAGTCAGAGAAAGGAGCAGGGCATCACTCCTATTTTCAGTGGGCAGAGGGCATACAATTTCTTTTTTCTTTCCTCCCTC